TATATATGTCTTCTATGTATGGTTACATATATAGTTGTAATTTTGACTACTGAAACTCAGAAGCATTTAAAAGCACAAAAACGTGAACATATATTATCCCCTGTTAGCGGGGAGGATGATCTAGTTTCATTTCTAGTTTCAAATTTAGCAATACTTCGCATAAAAACACATTCTAGTTGTATTACTACATGTAACAAACAAAATTTCACAAGGAAAAAAAAAAAGACAAATTAAGCCTACTAGACTGTCATCTAACCAGCCACAGCCAAACTAGCTCATTTGAGTAAAATAGTTTAAGAAGCTTGCAAATAGAATTTTGATTTTTTATTTAAATAAAAGGTCTTTCTTCTCAATGTGACAAACATTATTTCCAGGATTTTGTATGTAGCTGGAACCATTTAGATGTATTCTGCTTAGCAGCTTCCATTTACTTGGTGCCTTATCAGGTCAAAAACATATTTGTGCACTAGCATCATTGATGATGTCAGCACCGCTCTGGGAATAGTTAGTTCATTAGTTAATTGCTGCTGCAGAGCCAGCAGGGAGGCCCAGAATACATTTTATAGATACAGCAATACAAAAATAGTAGATTATTATCACAGCTCTGCAATGCAGTGCTGATTTAAACCCCCTACATTTATAGATTTTAGAGGGTGTCTTCCATCCAAACGTGAAAGTTTTAAGGGCGATCAAGTACTCTAACATCACTTATTTCAATTACAATTCTATCTAATTCACTCAATCTATTGTGATGAAAAACTTCTTTTGCAACCCCCACCACATCCCACAGATACAAAATATTATTCAAAGTTGTTAATTTGAATTTGAAAGTACAAAGTTGATTTAACCCTACTCCACATTTCATAAAAAAACTGTACGTACAAAATTATGTGTTGTGAGTGGCACATTTTCCAAGACCTCCACATGCAACTCCTCTCCCGTGAGCCAGGAAATGTCAGTGTCCCAGCCAATTGGCTTCTTCTCTCTAAAGAGTAAATAAGCCCTTCGTTAGTATCAGCACACAAACCCTTGCAAGTGTCCT